ATGGGGAAGTGTCCCAGGGAAACGTACTGAGTTAGAGGTAACACAGCAAGTGGTTGCCATCTACAATGTCCCTGGGCCAGGACCCGGAGTAGTGAGCAGGCCCAGGTCCCCCCCTACTCGCCACTGGGGAAGTAGCTGGACCGTTGACTGCAGGGACCCCGAAAGGGGGGAGCACAGAACATGACACAGGTGGAGGGTTGTGTCTTGAAGATGATGCCGCAGTCTTTGGAGCAATGTGGGTCCAGGAACAGATGTGATGGCAGCTGAGGCACCATCAGGAGAGTGTGTACTGATGGGCAGAGCTAATCCCCAAGACAGCTAGCAGGAGGCACCAGTGTGCTGAGTGGATTGACATCAGGCAGTCAACCCTGACTTTCAGCCTACCACATTCCTCCACCCCCCCCCCCCACCTTTACTTTCTTTGAAATAAGCTTCCTCATGAATCTACTTAAGAGTAACTAGGGGAAATTGACCACAGTACATGACATAAAACAGACACATTCAAAGAATGAGATTCTCTTGTGAATGGAATTGCATTACAAACATTACTGAAAAGACATCAGGAAAGATTGATGACTGACTGACTCCGCCTGCAGGAGCGAGTGGAGGAGATCTGGAATATTTTACACCAGTTACAATTTACCCATTGGTGTCGGCAAGATCTCTCAGCTTTTAAGTCTACTATGCCACAGAGTTGAAGTGACACCTGGCATAGCTTGGAAGAAATACATTAAGAGGACTCTTCATTAGACTCTCTGAGCCTTATGAATACATCCTGCATCCACCCTTATTTTTCTCTTTTTGGTAAAACTTTGCACTAAAATGACCAAAAACTCTAGCAATTATAACTGTATCTAGTCCATTCACAAAATCACAAGACACACACAGGTTTCCAAGCAGTACATTAAAGCTCTTAGAGGCTCTTTTACTGTGGTTTTACAGCACCTAGCACAGTGGGACCCCACCTCTTATCAGGACCTCTAGGCGCAAGCATAACACAAAATTCCTATTGTCTGTGGTCTCTCTTAGAATGCAGAAAATCATAGAAATGTAGAACTAGAAGGGACCTCAATAAGTCATCTAGTTCAGTCACCTGCACGGCAGCAGGATGAAGCAGACTATCCCTGACAGGTGATGGTCTAACCTTAAAAATCTCCAATGACAGAAATGACTCCCTAGGTAATTTGTTCCAGTGCTTAACTACCCGTACAGTTAGGAAGTTTTTCCTAATGTCTAACCTAAATCTCCCTTGCTTCTTGTCCTATCCTAAGCGGTTAAGGAGAACAACTGATCACCCTCCTCTTTATAACAGCCTTTTATGTAATTAAACTATTATGTCCACTCTCAGTCTTCTCCAGACTAGCCAACCCCAATTTTTTCCAACCTATCCTTGTAAGTCATGTTTTCTAGACCTTTAATCATTTTTGTTGTTTTCCTCTGGATTTTCTCCAATTTGCTCACATCTTTCCCAAAATGCGGTGCCCAGAACAGGACACAGAACTCCAGCTGAGGCCTTATCAACACTCCTGCTAATACATCCCAGAATGATCACTTTTTTGCAACAGAATTACATTGACTCATATTCAGTTTATGATCTGTTATAACCCCCCAGATCCTTTTTTGCAGTACTCCTTCCTAGGCAGTCCTTTCCCATTTTGTATTTGTACAATTGATCATTCCTTTCAAATTTTAGCGCTTTGCACTTGTCCTTACTGAATTTCACCCTATTTAAGTTAGACCATTTCTCCAGTTTGTCAAGATCATTCTTTATTTTAAATCTGTCCTCCAAAGCGCTTGCAACCCCTCCCATCTTGGTATCATCTGCAAACTAAGAGTACTGTACTCTTTATGCCATTATAATTTATGAAGGTATTGAATAGAACCGACCCATGACAGATCCCTGTGGGATCCCACTCAATATGCCCTTCCAGCTCGATTGTGAACCATTGATAACTACTCTCAGTACACTTTTCCAGCCAGCCGTACACCCACCTTAGAGTAGGTTAGTCTAGGCTATATTTCTCTACATTGTATATGAGAAGGTCATGCAAGATAGTATCAAAAGCCTTACTAAAGTCAACATATGCCACATCCACTGCTTCCCCCTATGCAAAATGCTTGCTACCCTGTCAAAGAAGGATATTAGGATATTTGACATGATTTGACATCTGTTAGTTATCACCTTATTTTCTTCTTCTAGGTGCTTACCAATTGATTGTTCAATTATGTGCTCCACTACCTTTCCAGTTAAGCCTACTGGTCTATAATTTCCTGGGGTTGTCCTTATTTCCATTTTTATAAATAGGCACTCTATTTGCCCTTTTCCAATCCTCTGGTATCTCTCCCATCTTCCATGAGTCTCAAAGATAATTGCTAATGGCTCAGAGACCTCTTCAGCAAGTTCCTTAAGTATTCTAGGATGTATTTCATCCTGCTGACTTGAAAACACCTAACTTGTCTAAGTAATTCTTAACTTGGTCTTTTCCTATTTGAGCCTGAGATCCTACTCCATTTACACTGATGTTCAGGACATTAGTTGTCAAATCCTTGTTAACTTTTTGATGAAAACTGAAACAAAAAAAAGGCATTTAACACTTCAACCATTGCTGCATTTTCTGTTATTGCCTTCCCCTCCTCATTGAGTAGTGGGCCTATCCTGCCCTTGGTCTTCCTCTTGCTTCTCACATATTTTTAAAATGCTTTCCCTAGCTAGTTTAATCACATTTGTGCCTTGGCCTTTCTAATTTTGTCCCTATGTGCTCGTGTTGGTTTTTCACATTCATCCTGTGTAATTTGACCTAGCTTCCACTTCTTGTATGACTCTTTTTTGAGTTTCAGGTCACTGAAGATATCTTGGTTAAGCCAGGGTGGCCTCTTATCATACTTTTTATCTTTCCTACACATCAGTGTAGTTTGCTCTTTTACTTTCAATGTCTCTTTAAAGAACTGTCACCTCTCCAGAACTCTCTTTTCCCTTAGACTTGCTTCCCATGGGATCTTACCTATCAATTCTCTGAGTTTCCTGAAATCTGCCTCCTGGAAGTCCATTGCCTTTATTCTGCTGTTCTTCCTCCTGCCATTCCTTAGAATCATAAACTCTATCATTTCACGAACATTAAAACTAGCAGAAAGTTTCTATAATAGATTACAGGAACCAATGTAAACATTTTTTCTGAAATAAAAGCCATTAATATCTCCCTCCCCCAAACACAGAATATCTAGCTTTTTTGTTGGTACAGACTGATCTATAAGTCTGTGACTACACATAAGTCACAGAATCTGAGACTTTCCAGGACTGCTGTGACTTATGCAGCGGCCAGTGTGGCTAGGGCAGTCTTGGGCAACCGCAGCCCCCTAGCAGCAGCAGGAGTTTGAGTGTGGGAGGGAGCCCAGGGCTGGAGGTTTGGGCGTGGGTGGGGGTGAGCGTTCTGGGCATGCTTACCTCGGGGGGTGGGGGAGGGCTCCCCCAGAAGCGGTGACGTGTCCCGCAGCTTCTACGCAGAGGCCTGGCGCTCAGGACAGCCATGCCTCCCTGTCCATGCCTCCGCCTGGGAGCCGAGGGACACGTCGCTGCTTCCACGGACCACGCGGAGTTAGGTAGGGAGCCTGCCAACCCCGCCAAACCCCCTCCCCCCAGTAGCAGCTTGTATGTTCATAGAGGACTATCCTCCCTAACAGACAATAATTCAAGGAGTTAGATCCCAGCATGGATCTCTTAGATCCCAGGTCATTCCCATGTCTGCAGTACCTCTGGGATATTTACATTAGTTCATAACGCTTCAGAAGTGTGTCTGGTATTAAAATACCAGATTGTCCCTTAGATCTCAGAACAGCCCTAAAGGTAACTGTATTCTCCCCAACTGATTTGGTCCCTGCACTTAAATTTTATAAGATGACTCACTTCCAAGGCATTTCATGACACTGGTGAGAGTGTATATCTAGTAGTTAGAGACAGACAAGGAGTAGAGAGACCAGGTTTTCATTTCCCACTTCAGTAAGTGACTGAGATCTCAGTCAAGTCACATAACATCTGAGCCTCTGTTTACTCATCAACAGAATAGGGATACAAGCCAGATTTACACTTACATAGCACCTTTCAGCCTAGGATCTCAAAGCATTTACCACTCTTCCCCCAAAATATAGAGCAGTTTTCCTTGCACAGGCCCAATACAGGCAGGGAAGTGGTAAAAGCATCATCACTTGGGATTTAAAACTAGACTGGATCAGCCACTAAAGAATGTGCTGCAGGGAACAACGCTGCATTCTCAAGGGAGGAACTGGAGCATTGAAAAGGTTTTTCCATCTCTAACTTGGATGATGCCCATGGATAAAAATCATTGTTGCCCTGTAATATATTGTGGATGGGTGAACTTTTATTTGCTTTAAAAAGCATTCAAATACAGGAGCAAAGCACATACATTCTCCAATCCCTCTATATCCCCCGCCCCCTTCCCCAAGCCTTTATAAAAATATCTCTTGAGATTTTGTTCACATAAGTATCATTGTACTGGAGGCATGATTCAGACAATCATGGTGGCACTATTTTTAGAAGATAATGTAATTACATTAAATGTCTCAGATTAGAGGCAAGAATGTATTTCCCCTGACACCACCCTCTTCTGAAATGGAACACTTAACCCTGTGCAATCACACATGGGAAAAAACTATGACCAACATATTCTGAAACGTCCTCTTCATCATTAATAGCCCGTTTGGTGCCTATAAAAGAACACTGACTGTTTCTTTCAGAACAGCTTCAGATAGAGGTTGTGGTGACTCAGTTTGGATTGTAACTTGTCAATGTGTGTTTGCCATCCACAGTAACACAGGTCTTTCTAGGGCCCTTGCTAAGTAATGGGTTCCCAGAAATCAGAACTTAGCCACAATCCTCACAACAAATAAGGATCAACCAAGTTGGTTTCAAAACAACTAAAACACATGGCAAACTTTTGAGGCTCCTGGACATATGAGAAGCTTAGGAAAGACTACAGCATACTTACTGCTTGAGCTGGAGATCTCTTTTGGACTGGATGCCATTGGCTGAGCACACATTTGACAGAGACAATCCCTTCCATTGAAGGTAACCCGGTCTCCTGGTGGAAACGGGCGTCTGGAGAGGGAAAGAGAAAAGTGAGTTTTATTCAAGGTTAATCCAGCAATTTCATTCTCTTCCCCATCTCCAGAGCCTGTTGCCTTCCTCTGGTGCAAATCAATATCTTGCAGACACTACGTCTGAAATGCAGCCATGGCAAAGTCAGGCAGCTGGGTGAAAGCCAAAGGTTTCTCAATTGTGAGGAGAGCAGAGATTAGACTGGCTGGTATTTTGGTTTCCTAAAGATATCAGATGCACAGTATCTAAAGAGAAGCAGACAGCGGAGTTCACTTAGACTCAACAGCGACAGCAATGATAGGCTCAGCACGTCACTAATGGTACCCAAAAATAGTGAGGAGCAGGCAAAAGGTGGATGGACGGCTCACAGAGCTGGTGAAGAAATATACAGTTGTTCAACTCAAAGGTTCACCAAACTGGGCTAGGTTCAGTGACTGACAGTCAGAACTATGATTACAGTGGTCCACACGAAATGAGTTGGTGGCTACATGTCAGTTCCTAGAACTTTAAACAGGTACCCACATTACAAAGCCACCCCCACTGTGTCAGTAGAGGACAAGGGCCCAACAGCAAGGTTGAGGTTTACTGGTGGGGCATCAGGAAAGAAGCTTGCAGCACTGCTGAACCTTGTGGTACCCATTCTGTGGCTAAATAGAAGATTTCTGCCTCTACGGTTGTTCAATCCAGCACTTTACACCAGTTCACTAAAATGAGGCAGAAATTCTCAAACTCCAAGTCTTCCAAAAAGGCGCATGGCTTTCATTTCCTGCTACACGCTGCCTGCATCTCAACCCACCCAGAAGTGTATATTAGCAGGAGAAGTGTCCTTAATAAATCAGCATCAGTTTCTTTTTGCAAAACAAACAGTTAAACATCACGGATGACAAGTCTTTTATTCGTTCCACACAAGTCGATGGGCTACATTTTATAGACATGGTTCAGGCCATCATTTGCTTTTACTGTATTTAGGAAATACTCCTGTAACATACATGGGATATGAATTCTCAGTGCAGTGCCAGTCCATACATATTGTTATTTTTAAAAATAATGACCAAAACACTTCGATCAGGACTTGAAAACTTGACCAGACACCTACTTGCCACTGGACTACATTTACTAGTCCAAGGCAGCTATGAAAGACAAGTGTGGTAATTCAGAAGCCCTGCCATCCCCCTGATACAGATACAGAGTCCTCACTTGAACCCTGCTTAATGGCTCCCTCTTTCATATCAACCTCTAGGTATCATATAAATTTAAGCCTCCTTCTCATCCCCGCCTCTAGCTGGTGGAAGGGAGGAGCCTCTCCCCATTCCAGAGCTTCCTGGCTGCTGGAGAACTTCACTGCTGTACTCCTCAGCAGGGCTACTGGCTGCTACAAGCAGGAGCTATTGTAAGTCAGCCTAGACACTTTATTTTGGCTTCTCCTCCCCTGTGAAATCCTGTGCCTGTCTTTGCTGCTGCTCATAGCACAAGATGGGATGCTGTCACTGCTATCTACAGGCTTCTGACTAACAGAAGTGAAACTGACTGTCATCTAGTTAACTTCAGTCTTTTTCTGCTGGTAAAACTATAAGCAGCAGCAGCGGCACCTCAACTGTCTGCAAACTCAAAAAGGTACCACACTCCATCAGTTTACTTCTGGCTCATTTTGGAAGATTATTTTCACAATCATAAAGTCTGGAAGATTTATTTCTTCTCGTTTTTGCTTTTTAATGAAAGCTTAGACTTCTCAGCAACAGATAGCTTAGGTCCATCCCGATGCTCACCAGGAAAAAACAAAATGATGTGGATCAAAATATTTCTTCAGTTATGCTGATCTCTACTTGGGCTGAATAGACAAGTAGTATTTAATCTCTGCTGGAACTGCTCAAATGAAATAGCCTGCAAGCATATATATACAAGTTGCCCCAGAACCTCCAACGTTCAGGGATAATATCCTAATGAGAGTTAAAATCATATAAAAAAAGTTCAAGCTTCTTAAACTTTCCACACCCAACATGACTATTGGCTATTAGTGGCTGCCTTCTTTCTTCATACTCTGCAGACATCCAATATGTAAAGAGGCCAAAATGGTTTTATTCAGTTTCTCTTGGTCACTGGCAGAATAGAATGAAATAAAAATGGATCTGAAACCTAATGGAAGTAGCATCTTCTGAAACAGTAATATATAGTGTGGAAAATAGGGAATTATTATTATATTATTTGCATTGTGATATCATTGAGAGGCATCAAGCAAGGATCAAGCGCCCATGGGGCCAGGAGCTGATAACATATAACAGAAGGCAATTCCCACCCCAAAGAACTTACAATCCAAGTATAAGATGAGACAACGGGTGGATACAACAGACGGGGTGAGGGGGGAGCACAGAGTAACAGTTATTAATACACTAAGCATCATGCACAGCACACTAGCTGGCTAGCCATTGAAATGTGGGAATCTTTTCCAAGTCACACCAAAAGCAAACTGTAATTATAGACAACTTAGGTCTTGAAGATGTTAAAACTCCATCACGGGAACTGATCTCTGATTGAAGCCTCTAATCACTACCACTATGCCAATAGTTACAATGAAATTTTATTCTCCATACCATATACTACTGTTTCAGAAGATGCTACTCCTGTTACATTTGGGATCCATTCCTTCTTTCGTCGGGTCCTTCCAGTGACTACAATAAACTCAATAAAATCACTTTGACCTTTGCATATTGGATGCCCGATAATACCAAGTACTCAAACCAAAAAGACTGGAACGTTCCTTCTTCACTTTCTTTTCTGTATTTTGTTTGGGATTTAAAGAAAAAAGAAGTGAAATGCTGATGCTTTGTTTAAATTTCTAAGCCATATTATTCCATTCACAGAAAGAGTGTTTCTTTGACTGAAACCAATGACAATATTAGTTGACCAGCTGCCTGGCTGAAAAAGAGCATTAAACTATGTCAGAGTGTATGGGTTGGGAGCAACTGCAGACCAGCTGAGGTAATATTTCCAGTCCCCAGCAAGAAGAGTAAGCCCAAATCCTGAGAACATTTAAGCACAAGTAATTTGACCCACACAAGTATACCCATAGATTCATGTAAATAAAATTAGCTTGTGCTTTAGTGAGCCCCACTCTAGAGCTCCACCTAGTGACCACAGGGGAGTGTAGCAGGTGTGAAGGGGAAGAGGGACAGAGACATTGGAACAAGACTGGGAGCCTGGGGCCCTGATCAAGAAGAGCTCTTTTTGTAGCTGCCTAAGAGTCACTAGAGCTCTGAGACAGGAAAGGGTGGACTAAGTTGGAACTAAGTAAGTACCCAACCCTGAGACAAGATTCCTTATTTTAAAATGTGGCCCTTAAACACTTCTGGTTCTGAGTTCAGCCAAATGTGAAACCCAGTATCGAAATGCCCTTTATAACCTATCCCACATAAAGCTGGATGTTAAATTCCTTCCTGTGTGACAGCAGCACAGGGTATTATACCTAGCAGCACAGCTTTGCTGGTAGATTCTTTTCAGATAAACTAATGGGCATTCTGAACTCCCTAAAGTTCAGGTGACAACAAATCATTCCCAATCAAGCACCTTCTAATAGAAAAAAACGTCTTTAGAACTGCATGCTGTGGCGATGCAGATCTCCCTGTGTTTCGTGTGATAGGGTTAACAGCACAGAAAGGACTCACTTGCAAACAGTGCAGGCAAAGCAGTTTGGATGGTAGGTTTTTCCCAGAGCTGTCACTACTTCTCCTTCCACGAATTCCCCACAGCCATTGCAGCGGGTTCCATACATGCGCTGGTAATCCACAGAGCAGAGGTATTCCCCGTTCTTAATGAAAAAACCTCCTTGGGCCAGGTCACAGCCACACACTGGAAAAACAAAACAAGCACAAATCAATTACAAGCCAAATCAGGCTGGCGGGTTGGAAATATATAGCTGTACAAATAGCATCCTCCCCCATATGCTTTAGGAGATCTGGGTTATGTCACAAACGAGATGAGTTTGGTAGTCTCAGTCCCCTCTATAACAGACCTGTGTCTTCAGCCCAGCACATCACGTGGTGAATGACTGACATTCTCTGGCTACAAGAGGTTGTTCGTTGGCATAGCAGTCTATGGAAGCCTGCACAGCAGCAGCTTGTGGGGGGGACCCTAGCCACTGTCATGAGTCTGTCAGTAACATGCACATTACAGTTCACCAGAGCTGCAAAGAAAAACAGTTAAGAAAAATAAAATTGGAGAGTCCAAATTATGTATTGTTAAAGGATGTAGAAGATACTGGCTGCAAAGGAACTGGCTTCACGTTCAGCAATTACTACGGGCCATGCTTTTATTGCAAGTTTCTGCAAACACTCACCCATGCAATACACTCTGCGATTATCATATCTAATCCAATTTTAAGAAATTGCAGATTCTGTGCAGATTGCCCTGTCCTTGGAACGTGTCCTTGGAAGCCACTGCAACGCCAGCACAGAGGTCTACAGGATTTAGAGTTACAGCGATTGCCCTTTTTATTAAAGAAAACAAAACCCGGAAGGCAGATCCTTTGAGTGAAACTGCTCCTAGTTGAATTCCAGTGAATGCACACACAATATCCTCTAGCAAATGCCTTATGGACAGTTTTAACTGAGGCTACACCCCTTTTGCTTCCCAATTCTGATGATGTGCATGGTGCAGGCCTCACGGGCAGGAGACTGCATGGAAATACAGGGCTGGAAAAATTGCTCCAAGCTAGGAAAGGTTGCAAGTGCTTTGGAGAATAGGATTAAAATTCAAAATGATCTGGAGAAACTGGAGAAATGGTCTGAAGTAAATAGGATGAAATTCAATAAGTACAAATGCAAAGTACTCCACTTAGGAAGAAACAACCAGTTGCATACATACAAAATGGGAAATGACTGCCTAGGAAGGAGTACTGCGGAAAGGGATCTGGGGGTCGTAGCGGTTCACAAGCTAAATATGAATCAACAGTGTAACGCTGTTGCAAAAAAAGTTAACATCATTCTGTCATGTATTAGCAGGTATCTTGCTTACAACACTCAAGAAGTAATTCTCCCGCTCTACTCCACGCTGATTAGGCCTCAACCGGAGTATTGTGTCGAGTTCTGAGCGCCACATTTCAGAAAAGATGTGGACAAACTGGAGAGAATCCAGAGAAGATCAACAAAAAAGATTAAAGTCTAGAAAACATGACCTGTGAGGGAAGACTGAAAAAATTGGGTTTCTTTAGTCTGGAAAAGAGAAAACTGAGGTGGGACATGATAACAGTTTTCAAGTATGTAAAAAATTGTTACAAGGAAGAGGGAGAAAAATTGTTTTTCTTAGCCTTTTGAGGAAGGACAAGCAGCAATGGGCTTAAATTGCAGCAAGGGAGCTTTAGGTTGGACATTTAGGAAGTTTTTCCTGCTGTCAGGGTGATTAAGCACTGAAATAAATTGCCTAAGGAGACTGTGGAATCTCCGGACCAGCATTGGAGATTTTTAAGAGCAGGTTAGACAAACATCTGTTGGGGTGGTCTAGATAATACTTAGTCCTGCCATGAGTGCAGGGGAATGGACTAGATGACCTCTCGTGGTCCCTCCCAGTTCTATGATTCTATGAAAAAATGACTAATCCTGCCGCTGAACTGGTGGTCTGTGTCGATGTGCAAGCCTCGGAGATCCTGTCAGACAGGGCGTCATAAGGCACGGAGGCCTCTTCCTACCCATGTAACACCACGCTGAGAACAGTAAAATCCTAGAAGAGAAACAGCAAATTTGAGCAAGGTGTTTGGTCAAGAGTTAGGTACACTCTCAGTCACTGCACCCAAGGACCTGTTCTTTCCACCTCCAAGAGAGGCATCGCAGACTCCAGTGGGCAGGGCCTGCAGAGCAGCGATGGTGCACGGAGCAAAGCCCTTTCATGAAGGGAATGGTTAGAACGTGGGACTGGAGTCTGAATTTCTGTAATAAACAGTCATACCCAGCTCTTGTGTAGTGCTTTTCATCAGCGGAGCTCAAAGTGTTTTACAAATGAAGTATTATCCCTATTTTACCTGTGGGGAAACTGAGGCACAAAGATGAAGTGACCTGCCCAAGGTCACCCAGCTGGCTAGTAGTAGAGCCAGTCCAGTGCTCTAGGTGCTAGGCCACAAATGACTAGCTCTTCTCTCTGTTGCATTGTATATCCTTCGGTAAGTCAACTTCTCACTAAGCCTCAGTTTCCTCACCCGATTCAAGGGGAGATAATACCTCCCTGCGTTCCGGGGGGGTTGTGAAGTTTCACTGACTGGTTTGTAAAGCACTCTGAGATCCCTGTCTGGAATGTGCTATACAAGCAGTAATAATGTTTCCATGCAACAACAATGGAAGTTGCTGGAATTATTCAGCAGAAAAATAATGCAGATGCAGTCAGCAAGACAGTATATAGAAGGAAACCAAAAGCTAAATCGACAGGGGCAGGGAGGAAAATTCCCCACGACACCTAGGTCTGGGCTCTGTCCTTCCCAAAGGCATTCTCCCAGCTCCGTGTGCCAACTTATAGTCCTTCCCCCAACCACCTGTGCAAGAGGAACAGGAAGAAGCAGAGCGGAGGCTAACCCCTTCTGGACTGGTGGTTAGATAATGCCTCCTACCACAGGTCACACACAGCATCTCTCCGGACTGGTCTCCGATTTCACTGAAAAGCCAACGGCCAGAACAGAACGTCTCGTCTGGAGTCCTGGCTCCAATACCTTAAAATACCGATATCTGCTTGGATGGCTAAAGCTGATATCTGATTATGCAACCATCCGCTTGGGTCATATAAAGAACACTATAAAATGCTCCCATCTCCTTTTTTCCTTAATCTAGCTGTGAAGCTGCAGTAGAGTGTTGAGGGCCTGGAGCTACAAAAAGGGTGCCGGAGAAGGGGGACGGGAGCAAACATGGTAGGTCAAATTTAGAACCTCTTACCCTTGACAGTGTCCCTTTAAACCTACTCATCAGGCACATGTCGTTCATGAGGCGGGCTAGTGGTTTCAATTTCTCAAAGGTACAGTCAGTAACTAGCCCCAGCCAGACAGTAAAGCCAGCTTACACAAGACATGCACCCACAGCCCAAGCATCCCACCCTTCTCCCATTCACTCGTCCACGGTACAGTTGGCCTGTATCAAGGAATGCAGGAGAAAAAGACACAGCTCTAAAAATAGAACAGATTTTACTATTTAATGTACTAGCGCAGTCTGGCAGGAATGATTTCTTTGTAAGTGCATGTCCCATTTAAGAGGCTTTCTTGGCTGGCTGGCATTTCCGTCTGAAAGAATGAATATCTTAGAAATGTTCTCTGGTTTAGGTTAAGGCCCCTCCTCCTGCCACACGCACCAGAAGATAAGACTGGGTCACTCTTCTGTCATTGCATAAACTTCTTCCCAGTGCTTAAACACTTAGCACTACTTTCCTCTGGTCTTTGAAGCTGTTGGGTGGCTGGGTGCTAAACCTTTGGTACGGGGAGAAGACAGTGGTGCAGATGGAATTTCATCATGTCAGACCCCTCACTATGAAATGGGAAAAACTAGGCAATCATAGCCCAGGAAGTTCTGATGGGCTGCATCACAGTTAGCTCAGCCATACTGCACTTCCTATACAGTTCATGATGTAAGAGAAGAATAGAATATTATAGTTTGCACTGAACAAGGCAAACGTTAAAAGAGTCCAGACATGCATGTGTATTCTGGACAAGTTGCCATCATGAGCATGTTGAGCTGCTGATTTTGCAACCCGGAAGTTGTTCTTAAGTCAGTCTTTTGTACTGGTTATCCGTGTGCATGTGTCACATCACCACCACATAGATTAGACAGCACTTTGATGCCAACTGATGGCTGCATAACAAGCAATTCCCTACGACAGAGAGTTTTACTGACAAGGATGTAATTTTACTGATTTTACTGGTAATAGGATGTAATTTCTCCATCAATTACCTTGGGGAATTTATGCAATACACAGAGCGAGCACAAAGCTCTCTAAAAGGACCAATGCTAGCTTAAGCATCAACCACCTCTGGCAGAATCCTCATTGAAAATTTGTTTGTGAATGAATTGGTACCAGATGACAGAACAAGGAGTAATGGTTTCAAGTTGCAGTGGGGGAGGTTTAGGTTGGATATTAGGAAAAACTTTTTCACTAGGAGGGTGGTGAAGCACTGGAATGGGTTACCTAGGGAGGTGGTGGAATCTCCTTCCTTATAGGTTTTTATGGTCAGGCTTGACAAAGCCCTGGCTGGGATGATTTAGTTGGGAATTGGTCCTGCTTTGAGCAGGGGGTTGGACTAGATGACCTCCTGAGGTCCCTTCCAACCCTGATATTCTATGATTCTATGATTCTAATTGCTAGTAGTTGAGTGCACTGGTCTTTTCAGTGATATTTCCTATGATTCAAGGGGAGTTACGTTCTACACAGGTTGTGTGGGGAGAATTGGGCCTCAAATATTTGTGTATTTTAGAATTTACTTTTTTCCTCTAGTTTTAGAGAGAAGGCATAGTCCCGAGCTTTGAAAGGAATTTTTACTCATCTTTATAAGGTGACATAATAAGAACAATCTGAATATTCATACTGAACAGTAAGAAAGGTATCTGGCATTTTGGTTTCACTCACTTCTACTGCACCATCTTGTACAGCTGAGTCAGTGAAATTCAGTAAGAGAAGCTGCCTTCCACATTGTAAGAGGACACAGCCATATGCCTTATTGTTCAAGATAGCCCATCAGATTTTTTTCAAAACTGCTGAATTAATTTAGATCAAATTGCCAAAGTCATGATTACTAACCGATAGTTAGACAAGCAGCTTTCGAGGTGCTTTCCTGTCATGGGAAAATGGAGAGAAAAGATGACCTCATGGTTAAGGTACTAGAGTAG